GACTGTTCACCTCAGAAGAAAAACTGATGTTTCAAGAAGTGGTTGTTAGTACTATGATTATGACCTAAGATTCCATAGAAAAGTGCATGACATGATCGTATTTGCTCTTGTTTATGTAGAATTCTAATAAGCAAGAAGTCAATTAGCTCTTAAAATTAAAATTTAGAAAATCCAGGCTTTTGTACACAAGCATTCTAAGTTATCTAACATTCAAAATAGTAATTTATATAGTATACAAATACGACCTTACTCCTTTCTCTTTTAAAAAGTATGGACTATGTTCTGTGAAATAATATAAGTTACAACTCCTACCATGCCTTTTTTTTCAGCATCTTTGAAGTTACACTTAACACAGCTCTTGCAATCATCACAACTTCTGGTGAGCAACTACACAGAAATCTAGTCTTGTAGAAGAATACACTTTTCTATTACACTCCTTTTATCAGCTTTCTGGTCCAGTAGAGAGTGACAACTTAAACTGGAATTTGATCACAGAAACTGCTGTCTAAGTTCTACAGTTCTTCAAAGAAATTCCAGATCTGTCACAAGCTTTCTTTTCATCTACACAGATAGCTGAAGAGACTGAATTTTGACACTTGGAACACAATGGAAAATCTGTCTCATTTCTGGAGGGGCAGGCAGATTAAGCATTTGTCAGATCAACAAATACGTAGTAAACAAATGAGAATAAGTGATGAAGTTTGAATCACAGCAGAACTATGTTTGTAAAAACTCACTAGCATGAGAGACATACCTGAAGATTTGCTTCACCAGATCTTTCACTGTCATCAGTTCTTACCAAATCAGCGTGACAATCTTCTTCAGCTTCTGCCTAGTAGAGAGCAGTCAAATGTGATTACAGGGTCTGCATAAGTCCCTACAGCCCATTCACAAAGAACAACTGTCATGGACACACATTAAAAAAAATTAAGCATACTTCCTTTTTGATGATAAAAATTAATTTTAAGACTAATGAGATCAGTTGTACTTCCATATTAACTAAATGAAAATGGGATTTGCATTTTAGACTTGTTACTCCAACAGATGAGCTGTGTATCACTTGAAGGCTTCCATGCTGCAATACACTGGCATACCTGACTAAATATACTGTGTCTATGTCAAAGCACAGAGCAAATGCTTCAGTATTAAACAAAAATGTGCTTTGTCCAACAAATTAAAATTTAATCACTATCTTCTCATTGTAAAGATAACCAGTAGTTTTAATTTGTTTAATCTTTGCAAGAGCATAAAAGTGCTTTGAATAACAATAGATACTTTACATATACATGTGAAACTAAACAAAAAATGGTATTGGAAGTACTGGAAAATACAATGCTAGCATGAGAGCTTGACAGTTGGTTTTATTTACAGTACAGCTGTGAGACAGGTTAAACAAATAAAACCTGAAATAAGACCTTTGACTAAACCTAACATGGCTCTACATAGGAAGCTGGCTAGTTTAAGAGGAAAACTTTAAAATATGCAAATTAATTATCATAGTGAAATATACTGAGATTTATGGAGTCTACACTAAAACTAATTCTGAGCATTACTGACAAGCCATTACAATGACAACAACATGCCAGTAAGGGGGAAAAAACACCCCAAAATCTCAACCAAGATATTTTTTTAAGGCTCTTCCTGCAGCTGAAGCAAACCAGTTTTTCTACCATTCTGCACTGAAATTCACATCTGTAGTTCTGCAAGTAGATAATGCAAAGTAAGATTACAAGAAGGCAAACCTGACATTAAGATTATCACAACTACTTTAAAAAGTTTTATTTCCCACTCCTTCCTATTGTACTCTGTACTCAGAGACTTGAAGTGACATTCTGTCAGTGAGATTCTACCAAGCTCTCAAAAAGAAATCCCTACCTCCTGCACAAAGTGCAGAAATCAAAGCATTCTTGTACTCAGAAAATTTATACCATTTTTAGAGCATCTGGAACTTCTGATCAAACCACGGAATACTAGCAAACATGATGGGAAGGCAACTTTAATCTCTCTGTCTTGGTGACAAGCACCTCCCTGGAATTAGTACGTGTCTTCAGATTCCCCAAAGACAATAAACTTATTGGTTTGTCATCTGTAAAAGTGTTTTCACTGATGTTTCAGATAATTTATCATTTACAATTGATAGACATGGTTGGTTGGCTGAAGATAAACAGATATTGCATCTACTTCTACATTCTCATTTTTAATTTTTGTACATTTTTAATTTCCCAGTAGAGGAAACAGGTGAGCCAGAACACTATAAAAGACTAGTGGCATTAAATCTCAGCAAGAAGTAAGTAACTTGGAAATTTCATGGGCTTTGATTCCAGAATTTAATTGCAAGCAGTTAATACCCTATGAGTTGTGACAGTCCTACCACATTACTAGCATCCAGGAATATTTTGTTGGCCAAGCAGGGCCAGTCTAGGAACAAGTTAGCTCTGAAATGGGTATCTGTAAGTGCATTATTATGGCACTGGGCTGACAGAAATATGGCCTAATTCTGTCTGTGCACAGCGCAAGTCTTCTTGCTTGCAGCTGAATTATGTCCAGGTAGCTCTCCAGTCTGGGCAGAATAAGCCTGGCTTTATCTGCAAAATGCAGAAATTAGCAACTTCTAAACTAAATCAACACACTATCTTCTTGTGCATAAAGCCACGCCCATTAAAACCTTTAACTCCTGAAGTCTGTAAACAAACTGATTTAAGCATTGAAACTACTTAGAAGCTTAGGAAGCTGTATGAAGTTTACCTCATTCAAAAATTTTGTATTTCACTAGTCTGTTCAACTCTTGATTTTCAACCCCTTCTCTCTGTTCAGCTGCCCTACTTCTTAATTTCTGAGTCACAGTCAGACATTGTAGTGGACCAACTGTATCCAAAATGTCATTTAATGCTCTTGAAACTTAAATATGCTCTCAACTAAAACCAAAAATACTATGAAAGTATTTCAGGCTAAAAGTTGTCAAAACCCATCATGAAACTGATTACAACCGAAGTGTTGTCATTACTTTCTCTATACTGTATGCATGTGTGATCTGCAACCTCTCGTATCAAAGGTCGGTCTCTGGCAGTAGTGGCAGCCTAAGTGGCCAGCCCTCTAAACTTACCGGTAAAGGAATTAATTCATTGCTACAGCAGAGGAATGAACTGGAAAACTGAAGTTTATTAAAACCTTTCCACTATTTATTTGACCTGCTGAAACCCTACGATTTTGCTAGGACAAGTGAGTAAACAGAGGTACTGTGAAGCGAAGACCTTCACCAGCAGACAGCTCATGAGATCACACCTAAAGAACTTCACAACGTGTAAAAATTGGCTCTTTGCCCCCACTCTGAGAATACTTGTGTTGTACTTAAGAGTTTCTAAAATTCAGAGAACGCTATGCTCTAACTGCTACTTAGGGGATAAATCTAGATTTTTCATCGTTGTGCTGCTGGCCTTTCCCCTGATACAAGTCAGCTGTCACATGGAACAGTGACTTCATTCAAAGGAAGACATCCTACTGTGTACTGGCTGACTGGCTTGATTAATTTTCCATGAGGAAAGTAGTAGTCTGTCAAGCTACCAAAAGGTAACATGTCAAAAGTAAACATCTGATTTAGGCAGCAACTCATAAAAAATGAAGTCGGCTGAGTAGATTCAGAATAAGTAGCTGATTTGCTTGCAAAGCTTTAGAAACCATTTGCCAAATGCAGAACTAGTTTATTTGCACAGCTCAGTTTTGTTTTGCAATCAATAATTGCATGCTGATTTCCTCAGAGTACATTAACCGCTCACTAAACTGTCTGTAATGTTTAATAGTTCTGATCTCTGTTTCAGCAAAATAAAACCAATATCAGAAACAGTCTGAAGCTCAGCGTCACCAGTTGAACAGTTATGTGTGAACCGTACAGAACTCAGGGAGGAGCAAGCACGGCAAAGCGAAACAGTGACTGCCAGCTAACATTCCTCTTGGTTTTATAAAAAAATGAGAAAGCCACCCTATTTTTCTGTAAATGTTGTAGAAACAACACTGTGTTCAAAAATAAGTGATGAAACATTTTAACAGCTCGTGTGTGATGGAAATGGTTTAACTTTGAATGATCGAGCTCTCATCATGGATACTTGAATCCATGTTGAGGCGCAGTCAATAAAGCAATGCCGGACCAAGGAGTATACCTGATATGTTAAATGACAAACTCAACTCGAGTCCGTGGCCCACGGAGTCCTTTGAATTACTGAGTGACTTTATGCCACCACATTTCTGAGGGAGGAAAGGGAAAGGAAGGGCACGCTCCCCTGTAATGACACAGGGATTTTGTTCACGCGTTCCTACGGAGGGCTGGATCGCTCCAGAACGCGGCAGCCCCACTCATCAAAACCCCCCGCGGGAGGCGGCCGTGCCAAGCCGCGGTGGGGCGGGGTCACGGCCCGATTCCCACCGCCATCGCCCGGTGCCGGGCAGGGCAGGGCAGGGCTGCCAGCCAGCAATTCGGCCAGGGGGCCGCTCCCACGCACACTCCCCTCGTCCTGGTCCCGCCCGGCTGTCTCTGCGCGGCAGCCAAGCCCCCGCCGCCCGGGCCCGCTCACCATGCTGCCGACACTCGGGCGGCGCTGTCCCGTCCCGGGGGCTCTGCTCCCCCGCTTGGTCCGTGTGTCCTCCCTGCCCGCGAGGGGCACTTAGCAGAGTTCTCGGTCGGAGAAGCGCACCACGCAGCGGGAGTCCCTGCGGGCCCTGCGGACGGCAGCCATCTTCCCGGCGAGCAGGGCCGGCGGCGGGAGCGGCGGGACACGGCCCGGGCGAACCCGCCAGGTCAGAGCGCCGCCTCCCGCGCGGGCCGCTACGACACGAGACCGCACAGACTCCCCGTCCCAGAGCGCACCGCGGCCCTTGCCGCCTCTGCCGCCAGCGGCGGTGCTGTGCAAGGCCTGCTGGGGAGCGTAGTCCGCGGCGGCACACCAGGGGAAGGGCAGCAGAGCAAAGGCTGCCGGGAGCTGTAGTCTCCGTGAGTGGGAATCCCGGCAGGCGCGATCCCGGGAGCGGGAGCCGAGGTAAACAGGGGATGTCCTGGAGCCGCGATTTCCGCTGTGGCTGCGGTCAGGCCGGGACCTTGGCACAGGCAAATTGCCGACGAGGTAACGGGAGAGCGCTCAGTGCCGCGGCTGCGGAGATAACAGCGGTGCCGAGGCCATTGAGTCTTGTGGCCCTGGTCATTTGCCCGTCCAGTTCAGTGAGGACAGTTATCACCTGCTGTCAGCACACGCCTTGTCAGGCTTTCTAAAATTGGACGAAACCTATTTTTTTAAAGCGTATCAGAGTCTTTTTATTCCAGAAGAAAACCACGTGTATGAATCTGTGAACCTTTGCAGCTGTCTACTGCCTTGAGCGTTTTGAGGAGGATGAGGAGGTGTGTGTCTTCTCTCGAGCGGCAGGTGAGCGCTCAGGCTTGGGCAGCGGGGCGGGAATTGGGGGTGCAAGGGCTGTGGGGGCCGGCATCGGCCGTGGGCTGCAGAGCTGCTCTGTGGAGAGTGAGAGGCAAGGGGCTGCCCGACAAGGCCGGGTGCCGCTTCGGGCAGCCGGAGGTGGTGAGGAGCAGGGGAGCTGGGTGCTGCTGGCGTGCTGCCTTGCTGGGTGAGCAGTGATGACACAGCAAGGCCACCTGAGGCTTTGAGACGGGGTGCTCATGGCTACAATGGTTATCATTAGCGCTGCTTCTCGTTTGAAGTTGGAGTCAAAGCTGATTTTCTCCTACCTGGGTGTGCCTCTTCTTAGATATTAAACATGACATATTAGTAAAAAAAATCCTTTACTATGAGGACAGTGAGGCACAGGTTGCCCTGAGAAGCTGTGGATCCCCCATCCCTGGCAGTGTTCAAGGCCAGTTTGTTGGGGGTCTGAGCAGCCTGGTGTAGCAAAAGGTGTCCCCGCCCGTGGCAGGGGGTTTGAAACTACATGATGTTGAAGGTCACTTCAAATTCAAATAATTCAATTATTCTATTGGGAATGAAAAAGCCTTGCCTGTAACAACAGAAAAACGGCGTTCTGTGGGGGTTGAGTGCTAATATGTGATTGTGCACGTGGGATGTAATATGGGTGGCTTGCAGCAGAAATCTCATGTAAGTATACACTGCTCCTCTTGGCTTCACTGAATCATGCCTGTCTGTTGGAGAGAATTTTAGTCTTTATAATATATTCGTGTAAATATAAAGATTAGCCTCTGACTAGATAGGGTGGGGGAGGCCCCCAGAGCTTTTTTTATCCCCACATCTGTTTTAGCAAATTAATGTCTTGTCCTACGCTGTACTCCTGAATTACAGCACTAGTTCATCCTATATTTCCAAACCCTGGGAATTAATTTGATGCTTTACTTTGAAAACTTAAGGGATGAAGTGTAAAAAGAAGTTGACACTTCCTGAATCACTGTTACAGTCCTGATAATAAATTGTTTTCCTTGTTTTCCTTTTACGGCCTTCCCATTATGTCTTAGGCTGACCGTGTCAGAGCCAGGGTGAGCTGCTGGTGCTTGGCTGAGGAAGGCACAGGCCCCCACTTAAAATGTTGATATTCTTCCCATTTGTTCACAGCTTGCTATTTCTGCTTTCTAGTTTTGCTGTTTAAACTCCTCTCTGAGATGTGAGAGAGGCCTGTCAGTGTGGGGATCATGTTTGTTCGGCTGGGTTTTGTTTTCACAGAATCACAGAACTGTTAGGGTTGGTAAGGTCCTCTGGAAGTCATGCAGTCCCACCCCCCTGCCAAAGCAGGGTCACTTAGAGCTGGTTACACAGGAACACATCCAAGGTGGTTTTTCAGTGTCTCCGGAGAGGGACGCTGCTACTTCCCTGGGCAGTCTGTCCCAGTGCTCTGCCACCCTCAGTGTAAAGAAGTTCTTTCTCACAGTTAATGGAACCTCATGTATTTCAGTTTATGGCTACTGCTCCTCGTCTTGTCACTGGGCACTACTGAAGAGAGTCTGGCACCATGTTTTCGGCACCCACCTTTGAGATATTTCTACGCATTAACGAAATCCCCTCCGTGTCTTCTCCAGACTGAGCAGGCTCAGCCCCTGCAGTCTCGTACGAGAGATGCTCCAGAGATAGCTCGGTTTGTTTTACTCTCGTTACCACGCAGCTCAGCGCCCCCTCTGCGAGGGGCCCGGCCCGGCGGCCCCGGCCGCAGTCGTGGGGCGCTGTCCCCCCGCGGGGAGCCCCGGCGGCCGGGCGGGCCCGGGGCGGGGGCCGGGGCCGCGCCATGGGCCGAGCGGGGCCGCGGCTGCTCCGCGGGGCGGCGGGGCCGCCATAGGGGCCTGTCCGCGGGCCGGGCCCAGCGGGGACACGCGTCCGCCGTGAGTCTTGCCGGGCCCCGGCGCGGAGGGCCGGGACACCTCGGTCCCTACGGCGAGGAGCGGCGCACGCGAGTGCACCGGGGCCGAGGCTGGGGGTCGGACGCCGCCGCAGCACGGAGGCCGGGCAGGAGCCGGGCCCTGGCCTGAGCGGCGGACCCGCCATCGCCCGTCTGTCCCTGCCTGGGTGTGCAGCTCACGGGGCATCCCCAGAGCCCTCTGTGACGAACGTGGCAGCCGCTGGGACCGCGCCCGTGGACACTCGCGGCTTTGAACTGCGCCTTTCTCACTGCTTCCTCCTAGTAATGCCTTCGCGTGATTGCCACAGCGCAGGGCAAGTTAAAAAGGCACATGCTGTTTGTTTACTGTCTGTGTCTCTCAGCTGTGGCAGAGTGAGCTAGTTTCGCTTTCCGTTCTCGGCGCTTCAGCACTTCAAACACGAGTGGATATGTATTTAAAGGGTTCATAAGCGAAATACTAGGTTTGAGTTGTACTTAGTTAGAAAGCACTCTCGATATATTGAATTAGGCTTTCTGTTAAAGATGTTTTGCTGTTCGTTTTCTGCGGGGAGAGAGTGTATAAGTGAGGTAGAATCTGAACGCATTACGCATTGTTACAACATGGTGGAAGTAAGGGGCTTACATTTTACTCTTTAGTATCAACACAATTTTTACTTCAAGATATTTTTGCAGTTTATATTTACATTCTCTGGCGATGTGAATTTATGTAGATTGAACTTTTAGATGATACGTGTTGTAGCTCTGGAGACTGCAGAGGCTCATGCTCTTTTCAGTAATTTCAGTGGGACTCAGGTGAAACAGTCTGAAGGCCGAGTAAAGCAGATTTTTAAAACAACCTCACTATTAACAAGAAATGATGCTGATTGAGTTAACCAGAGAAGATTTCATTCAGGGTTTGTGAGTGGGTTTTCATACAGGTGGATTTGTGCTTCCAGGGGAGCTGGGTTAACTTCTGTGCATCCTGGCATATTTTTGACATTAATTCATCACTGAAATAAGTGTCTTCTGACTAGTTTAGTTTTTTATTGGTTTTGGTTTTGTTGGTGGTTTTTGTTTGTTTGTTTTGGGGGTTTTTGGTTGGTTGGGGACTTGGGGTTTTTTTTTGTTTTTTGGGGGTATTGTTTCATTTGGGTGGGGGTTGGTTTTTGTGTTTTGGTTTTTTGCTTGGCTTTGAATTTGGGGGTTTTTTGTTTTTTGGGGTTTGTTTTTGTATGTTTGGGCTTTGTTTGTTTGGGTGTGTTTTTTTTATTGGTTTTTGTTTACTCACTTTAGTCCTCAAAAATACTTCATTTAGTCTGTTTTGGTCACGTTTGACAATTGCAAAGATAATTTCATACAAGCTTTTTGAAAATTGGTGGCTGTGGGAAGGAGAGGCACTTAATTTAGTATCCTCATTAAGGAATAAATAGTTAGGTTCACCACATCAAACAATCTATCTAGCCATTGGTGATTATTGCCAGTAGTGTTAAACATCTTTAGTTTTGCTGTGGTTATCAAACATGAGGGAAGGGTGCTCCTCCACTCTTCAGTCACAGTTCCCTGAAAGGGATATGCAAATGGTGAATCAGGGACAGCATAGGAGTCTGTGAATTTTAAGACATCACTGCTGTTAGGATCATGGTTTCAGAACTCTATCAGAATAGTCCACAAGTCCCAACTGTGTTGATTTGAAATTCCTGTATAAAATTGTTTGGATATGAATAAATTTTAGGTTTTCAGACTAGGAGAATGTTCAAGATGATGTCATTGTTTGAAATCTTGTTGCCAAGGATCTGAATAAAGGCTTCTGAGTTGCCATCCAGTCACTGACCAGTTGGAGTAAGCAGGTTAAGGCTTTTTAACCTGGATGCAGACCACTGAACATAGCTTTATGCTATTCAGGTGCACAATCTGAAAACTAGCCAAAAAGGAACTGGTACTCCAAACTGCTGTTACAGACAGGTTCTGTGTTCCTTGACAAGTAGTACAAAATGTGGGATTAGGTCTCTAATGTATGGTGCTCAGTCCTGGTTCTCTGTAGTAGTGAGTGTGTGGAAAGGAACAGGTACTGCTAGAGGGCAGTTCCTCCTGCCTGAGAGACTACCCAGTGTCTGAGATAGATTTAGAGACATGCTGCACAATGGCTACATTGTCAAGAGGTCTTCTAACTTAAAATTTCCAGGTCTTTATTCCTGTATCAATATTAGTAGGGCTAGTAGGCTTAGAAGATGGAAAATAAAGGATATTCACAACATCTTGCAGCTACAGGATTGTGGCTTTGCATTGATGTCAGTTCAGAGTTCCAGTAACATAATCCCATTACTTCTAAAATCATAATACAGCTTTGTGAAATAAGGGAGATATAAGGCTACTACAAAAATTGTGAAAATGTAGTTAAAATACACATTACAGAAGGCAAAAGTCACAAGCCATGAATACTGTTGTCTTTTTAATAGGTGAAGAATAAGAGAATGCAGTGACCAAACTTTCATTGTTGGGGAATTCTATTTTGTTTCAAATGTATGGTTAATTTACATAGACTAGACTACATTTTTTTCTAAACTGTAGTGAAGGAAATATGAGCAACAATTACATTAAACTAGAAACAAGAAGATTTTTGCTTCATATCCAGCAGAGATTCCATGGATGCCCCATCCCTGGAAGGATTCAAGGCCAGACTGAGTCAGGCTTTGCGCAGCCAGGATACTGGAAGGTGTCTCAGTCCAGGGCACAGGGATTGGAACTAGATGATTTTTAAGGTGCCTTCCAACCCAGACTGTTCTATGGGATTTTTTTTTGTTCATGCAGTGTCACAACAAAAGATTAGATAAATAATCTGATGTAGCCACTACTTCTAGAGACTGATTCATGCTTGGAGTTACTGTAGTAAAATACATTTAGTCATGCCTCACGTGAATGTAATATTCTTCCTCTGCACACTTTGTTTAAAGACTATGCTCTTTCACATAGGACCATATGGGAAATTTAGGATATTGGTTTAATTGATGGCAGTGTGACATATAAGGTGGTGACTTACATGCCTAAAAATCTGGCTAGGACAGATTCCCTCCTATTGTATTGTAAAGCTTCATTTTTTTCTGCTAGCAGATGGTTTTCTCCAGGCCGTGAGACTTTATCCTATTACTTTAGTAGTAGTGTCTCCCATCAGGGCTGCCTACAAGCTTTCTGTAAGGTACCTTTAGCTTTAGCATGGGACTGGCTTTGGAGATTATACCTAGTTACATGCAGATACAGGCTGGCCCTTTCTGGTGAGAGACTAGGATGTGTGTTTGTTTATGACTGACGGGGACTGTTCTCTTGGAGGAGAGTGGAGTTTGCAAACAAGCAATTTCAGAAGGGTACAGAAATGAAATGGATTATGTTCTGTGCTTTCAGACCAAAGGCTAAGTCTTGAAAACATGATTCCTGCAACTGTTCACACTGTCCTGAGTGCTCTGTATTTATGCTGCCACAGAAAGAAACTGGTTACACTTGGAGGAGAAAAAACACAGGAAACGCCAAGGACTGAAATGCGCTTGCAGCTGAAGTATCCGCATCATGAATAGGTACAAAACTATCAGACAGCTTGGTGATGGGACCTACGGCTCTGTTCTCCTAGGGAGAAGCATTGAATCTGGAGAGCTAATAGCTATTAAAAAGTAAGTGTTCTCATACATTACTTAAGAATGCATAGTCCAGGTTTTTCCTTTCTAGGTCTGCATCAACTTGGTCATGCTGGTTTGAGTGCTTCACGTTCCATGCAGCTTTTTAATATGGAGCTGTCTTTAGCCAGCATGAAAAATTCCTTGTATCCCCCAAAGCCTCAGTGGGAGATAAAGAGGGTGAGATGTGTAGGCTTATGTGTAACAGCACTCTGCTGATATGTGCAGTCAAATGTGTTTTATGTATTACTTAAGAGTATTCTGCAATGCTGCTTTGGAACCTACAACCCTTTTTCTGCTGCTTACATGGAACATATATTTTGTAGTCTAATTTTCAATGGAATATTAATACTGCAGTGATAATTAACACAACTAATCTCATTGTCTATTGTCTGTATATTTTATGCTATGACATATTGTCTTTTCAACTTAAGATTTTCTTGAAATCAGTTGAGAAATTCACTTGATTTTCTCTTCTGTTTTGGCGTTGACTTTAATTTGTAAATGGCTTATTTGTCCTAGCTATGGTAAGAGACAGCTGTAAAGCATTGCAGGCACCTTCCTGAAATACCGACCATGACCATGACAAAGGACAGGCTTGTCAGAAGAGCTTTTAGCACAATGCTGTTTTGTATGAGCAATCAATAGCTGGCTTTATCAACTTTCTAAATCCCCACTGCTAAGGATATTTTGCCTGTATCAGACCTTGCTTAGAAGGTTTTGCTTTAATTTTCAGTTTGCAACATGGGAAAAACTCAGAAAAAACAGAACAAGCTAGAAGTATTCTCTTACTTAGGTGTTAATGCCAGTCCTTTGTTAAAAGCAGAAGTGGCCCAGTAACTGAGTGCACAAGACAGTAACTGCAAAAACACTGCTAAAAAAAATCCAGACCCCCTTCATAACATGAAGGGCTTGTAGTTCTTAAGCTATTCTAATTGTGAGAGCCAATTTCAGACTGGAAACTTTCTACAATAATAAGTAGTACTGAATTACTAAAGGCAAAGCCTCAGATCTTCAGAGAGTGCCTAGTTCCCTCTGAAATCCAGACTCTACACAGTTGAGTATTTTTGTAAGTTTTAATATGTGATCTTATGTTTGCATGTATGTGTGAGCCTTCATCCTTTTGGTCCTAGAGCATAGAGTTACGTCTCAAAGAACTGAGTGGTAATCAGAATGTGTATGAACACACAGGCTGGCTTAGGAGAAAACTGCCACACAGTTTGTTTCTGTTAGAGCAGAGTTGCTTATAAGCTTGAAGGGGAAAGCAGAATTTGAAAAGTAGTTGGCATGATAGGTGGACCTTGCAAGGGAAGGAGAAATGTGTAGTGAACAAAGGAAAATGTGGAAAATACTAAATGGCAAAATGGCAAAATACTAAAGTCACAGAGAAATCAAAAATAGAGAAGAGGGGCAAGGAGAATATGATAAAATTTGAGACCCAGTGAAGTGATTGGATCTTCACTTGATTTGTTTCAAAACTACCCTTGTTCTTTTCTACAGTAAGACTCTTCCACGTTGTTGTCTCAGAAAGAAAAATAGCGTGCCTGAGCTTGTTGAAGGCTCTGAATTATTTTCAGCAAGATATATATATATATAAATGCAATCCTGTGTAATAGTAACTGTTATTTGACTGTTATTCTATTTGAGTGTGTATTCTAGTAAATGAACTATACCTTGTCTAGAGATGTAAAGTTTTTTGACAGGAGCTAGCACCTTACGTTCTGATGGAAGAACTGAATTGTTAAGACACAGTGAGGCTTTTGGTTCTAAGAACAACTGATGTTTTCAATGCATTAGTCATTCTTTTCTTCTCTACTTTTGTAGAATGAAGAGAAAATTTTATTCCTGGGAGGAGTGCATGAACCTTCGAGAGGTTAAGGTACTTGTTTTTTCAATAGTTGACTTCAAATTAGACGATCACTGTCACATTTGGGGGTAACATCAAATTCTTTATGACTCTTGTGTCAAAACACCACTCCCAAAGTGAGCTGTAGCATATGACATTACAGTTCTGTTTCCTCACTCTGCATTGGAAGGGAGTGTCGGTAGTCTTACAAAAATGCCTATTGAAATTCTGTAGTCTTACAGAAATTATTTGGTTGTAGAGAACTGCTTCCTTCCTGCAGTGAGGAGTGTGTGAATGAGAGCTTTCCTGTCACAACACCTGGAGTTGCATGGTGTTTGTTTTTCAGAGCTTGAGAACACATGTCCTTTGTTTGCGCAGCATTAACTCTTGTGCGTGTAATTGTTTCTCTATAGTTGGCTTGGGGACAGACATACAGCATGAAATTCTTATGCCGATGAAACATTGGGGGTAGGCTCTAGGGGTCTTCTTAATTTATAGTCAGCACTGAAAATATGCAGAAAACCTAGGTCATTTTTCTTACAGTACCATGTAAAAATGGACATCAAATACACTGAAAATCTAAAAAGAGAAGGAAGACCCAAATTTGCTAGTTTTAGCTAGGGTAGAGTTTGTTTTCTTTGTAGCAGCTTCTGTGGGTCTTTGACAACACAGGCACGTTGTAGTTATTGTTGAGCAGTGCTTTCACAACCTCAGGCCCTCTCTGTTTTTCATGCTTTCTTGTCAGTGACTAGGCTGAAGGTGGGCAAAAGGCTGGGAGGGGACACAGCCAAGACAGCTGACCAAAGGGGCATGCCATGTGACATGGTGCTGAGCAACAAAAGCTGGGGAAAGGAAGAGGAAGCAGGAGACCTTCAGAGTGATGGCATTTGATTCCCAAGTAACCATTATATGTGATAGAGCCCTGCTGTACTGGAGGGCTGAGCACCTGCTTGCCCATGGGAAGCAATGAATTAATTCCTTAGTTTGCTTTGCTTGCATGCTTGACTTTTGCTTTACTCATTAAACTCTGTAGCTCAGCCTATGAGTTGTCTCATTTTCTGCTCTTCTGATTATTTTTCCTATCACATTTGGAGGGCTGAACAAGCTCAGCTGCCTGCAAAAATTAATCCACAGAACCAAGGAAGACTTTTCCAGGGTTGTTTTTAGTCTTGACTCTAACCTGACTGTTGCCAGTGCAGGTGCAAGAAGAGTGTGAATTCTGTCATTAGGAAGGTTCCTACAGAGAGTATGCAATTGTTTTGGTGTTTATGGTGATAGGAGATAGCTGGCTTTTGAATGACCAGCACATTAAATTGCTGCATAGACTGTATATGTATATGGTAATACTTGGAGATCTGGTCTTTGTTCTCAGAGCTGTCTGATTATTTAAGACACCAAAGAGTTTTTGAATCCTTCTGCAACAGTGAAGTAAGTTGGGGTTTTTTTCTCCTTCACTATATTAAGACCCTTGTAAAATCCTGTTTGTATTTTCCATTTCTAGTCTTTGAAGAAATTAAACCATGCCAATGTGGTAAAACTGAAAGAAGTTATCAGGGAAAATGATCATCTGTATTTTGTGTTTGAATACATGAAGGAAAATCTTTATCAGTTAATGAAAGAGAGGTATGTAACAGCATCACCCATTCCTGATATAAATTAATTAGTTGTGTAATGTGCTTTTAACACCCCTGGAACTGTTCGAAGGACTTTGGATTATTTGTTTAGGCTTGGACCACTATAGCTTAAAGCTGCAGGCTGCAGTAGGAGCTGTGACTGTCACCTTCATGTTTGAACATATCCCAGCCAGTCTAGTGAGAGTTTCCAGTGTCTTGTCCCAGATTAGTGTGTGAGAGGGGAGTAGGTAGGAACTGTGGGCTTTTAACAGTGCTCACACTGAGGAGGCCTTGGACCTAGAACTTCTGATTTCTATGTAAGTACTCCAGTGGTGCTTTTTTATGAGAGAGTGGTATCACCAGCTCTTCTTTTATGGCTTCCTCAAATAAATGAACAAATAAAAAGTAGTTGGAACAGTAATCAAGAGGTGTCAAATTTTGGATTGCTTCCAGGAATTGCAATTTTTCCTTGCAATTTGAACTGACATGACTGAAGACTGCTTGTTTAATTTGTCAGCATTCTGAATAAAATCTAGCTTTTTGATATTTGCTGGAGCATTAAGAAGTCTTAATTTTAGACTTTGGGGCATGATAACACTCATCAGAGGATAACGGGTCCAAATTTCCTGCTTTGAATTGTTTCTCTCTATGGACCATAGTATCAGCCTGATAGATGACAATAATATTCCTTGATTTAACAAAGTAAGATATTATTATAATATATCTATGTGAATGCCACATGAAATACTTTTTTATGCATAAAAACACTGTGCATGCACAGGCATAGAAACTGTAATTTAATTTGGCGCATATATGATATAATATGAAATAATGAACTTTGAAGAAATGGTTCAAGTCTATAACAGAAACCAATTATCTTTGGGAATTTCATATAAATGCTTGATATCCTACCTTCTTATCAAAACAAAAAGCCCAGATGTCTTTAAAAGCATGCTTTGCATCATACTGTCTACAGTTTAGCTAGGCCATGGACTTGTTAAACATTGTGTAAGTCAGACCTTTAAGAATGCGATTTATTTCCTTAATTCATAGTTAAATTGCTGGTTTTATGCCAAGGGACTGTAGAGGAAATAAAAATTTCTTCTGCAACAAGAAAAGAAAGTAGACAAATAATGAAAAGCTGACTAGCAGTTTTATTTGTCACTGCTACCTTTTATCTTTGATTCATTGTATAACATAAGTTAATGTATTAATTTAGTCATTAATATTTGTTTCTTCTCTTTTATTCCACAGAAACAAGCTATTCCCTGAGTCTACAGTTAGGAATATTATGTATCAGATCCTGCAAGGGCTTGCATTTATTCATAAGCATGGTAGGTTATGTTTTAGCTATGAACCTTCTGAATTAGAGACAGATAATGTTTGTGTAAGTTTTTGGTTTAATACACAAGCAATTACATTACTGACTTTAGTAGAAGGAATGATCAAAAGAATAGCTTTGTATGAGACATTCAGATGACTGAAAACACCTCTATTTTATAGTTGCCTAATACTTCATTCTGGAGGTCTTAGTTCCTTTTCTATAGGTTTCCACTTACACAGTCTGGCAGCTGGCCACTCTCAAACTTGTTGGATGTTAATGAACACATTCCTTGATAGATTTAAAGATCCTCTGAGACTGAGAATAAAGAAGAAATTACTCTTTTCTCAAGGTACACGCAGATACCTGAATAAAACACACATTTTCTGTAAGATACATTTAATGCAATAAAGTCCGAGTGACAAGTAGCTTTTGTTGCATGGGCTTCCAACTAATATATATGACAATGGTAAAAGCTAAAGCTGATGTACCAGCCAGTAGTAACAAGGCCCACTTAACTAGTAAAAAAAAAATCTCAAAACAAACACCTTATTTTAACAGAAGCTTTCTAACTTTTTTGCTGACCTTGGCAATTCTGTCTGCTAGATACACTGAAGGGTCTGTTGCTGGCCAGCTCTCTGGCTTATCAGAAGAGAACTGACATTGGTGGCTAGAGTCCTGGAAACAAAATTCTTACAAGGACCAGCATTACAGTTCACTTGAAAAACACATTTAACTGTGTTTTGCAGAATACTTTCCAGCTAATGACTTTATTCACTCTTCAGATGGCTACTCATCTGAAACCTAATCATAAATTCTAGTCTGCTTCAGTAATGTACCTAATATGTAAACACAGAAAAATACTATGATTGATTTGCAAAAATCTAAGCCACCTTTTTTCAATGAATTGTCAAATGGATCATAGCTTTTCAGAACAGCTTTTATTGCTATTTAACTTACTATAGCTGTTAAGACTGAAAATGTTGAAATTATATTTTTCATTGACTTGTTACAGGAGACTTGTATTTCTGCCATGGTGTTGCAAATTTGTGTTGAAGGAACACCTAGAAATGTTTGGCAAGCCCAACAGAATGGTTCTAATGATATTGTGGCTCACAGTATAAGAATTAGTGTCCTAAGATTCTCACCACAACAGTTCTGGAAAAAAAATCACATGAGCATTTTTTTTCCCCTCTCTCTGTTTCTCTGTTCTGCTCCTGTGTGGCATAGAAACGCTTGTCATGTAAACGTTTTACATTCTTTGTCCATCCAAACTCTTAAGCATCTTTTTATATTTGAATGCACAACAAATTGGTCTTTCTACAAATTTGTCATGAAATAAATTGCCTCACAAGCATTCTGTTAGTGCATGTCTGTGCAGCAAAATACAGAAGTGATTATGCTAAATGCTAAGAACAGCCTTGATTGTGTTGCCTTGTACCTTTCACAAAGAAGCAGTAATTCAGGCTGGCATCAGAATATGCGGTCAACATCCCTAGGAAGGATGCGGTCTCCTGGTTAGTATATACCTACAGCACTGTGTCTTCAGTGCTGTTATACATTCATCTAATGAACAAAAGCTAATCTAGTTATACTGGACAATGTAGAAATCCCCTGTGTCAATGTTTAGTCCAGTCTCTGGGAATATATTCAAAGCCATGGAAAAAGTAATCATATTGGAGTCTCTGAAAAGGTGCTCAGAGAGCTTCAGTTAGGGTACAACAGAGGGAGCTGTGTCTCGGAACGTTTGTTCAGACACTTGCGAAAAAGAAGCATAAGAACAAGATTTCTGGGCTAATGGTGGAAGCAAATTTCAGAGACAATACTCGTGATACACCAGTCCTTTTCTCTCATTTATATTAAAAGAGCTCTTTCCAAATATTCATTCTTGATCAGTTTTTGCTGAATGCAGGGTGCACTAAAAAAATACACTGAGGTCCTCTTTCATGGTGTTGAGTAGCTCAGTGCTTGCAGAGTATGTTCTCAGACTTAAAAAGAAGTTTGAAGTGCAAAAAACCCCTTGTTTAAATTTATATTCTGTTTAAAATAACATTTTATGTAATTGATTGTTAACTTCATTGGACAGTTTCCAGTTAGGATGAAACTAGCATTAAAATGGTGGAAATTTTTTAATGTTAGAGAAGTGTCACTTGAAAGAGAGCTGTCTGAATAAATGCTTTGAATTGTTACAAGATAGCAAACTTGTGTATACTGTTCTTCACAACCTGACTGAACAACACTGTACTGATCAGCTCTGCTGATCACATCTGACTTTGATATCTGTGTGGTGCTATTTCAGCTTCAATGCTAAGAACTAAAGCAAAACAATCCAGTTGGAAAATAAAGGATGCAGCTGTGAGTGAAGTGACATTGCAATCCACATCAGTATTTCATTTGAATTTCAGGGTTCTTTCACAGGGACTTGAAACCTGAAAACCTGCTTTGCATGGGACCAGAACTTGTGAAAATTGCAGATTTTGGCTTAGCCCGAGAAATCCGATCTCGACCTCCTTACACCGATTATGTATCCACAAGATGGTAAGTGCTAGTACTCAGCTTCATTGTAGGAACTTGCAATCAACACTTGAATGTAGTACGGTACTGAATTCATGTTGATTGTTATGCTACTTTTGATGCCTCTTCAGTATGAAACTTCTATTTAAGCTTGGTGTAATTTAAAAACCTTCAGTTAGTGCAAGATAGTTTATAGATAGCAACAGCAAAGGAGCAGAGTGGGAGTGTAGTAAGGCAGGTGGCAAGTGGGAGTGTAGTAAGACAGGTGGGAACATGCTAGGATTACTGTGTGTCAGGAAGGTGTGAGAGAGTTTACAGAAGATTATATAGTTTTAATACTAAAAAATTTATTACATTCAATTCCTCTCCTGTGTACAGGAGAGGAGAGGAGGTTTTTAAAGAATGTTTGCTCTTAATAGCAAAGAATGAAGAGGTGAGTGATTTCATGTATGTTTGAATTGTGTTGATTGTTGGGATTTCCTTTTCTTTCTTTCTTCTACAGGTATAGGGCTCCTGAAGTACTTCTGAGATCCACCTGCTATAGCTCTCCAATAGATATTTGGGCTGTTGGTTGCATAATGGCAGAAGTTTACACGCTGAGGCCTCTCTTCCCTGGTGCCAGTGAAATTGATACTATATTCAAAATTTGCCAAGTCTTAGGGACGCCAAAAAAGGTAACTGAAGTGATATTCCAGACTGCAGTAATCCTGGAGCTGTTCTGCAATACACAATAGCATGGTAGCAGTAAGCATAAAATAATAAATTTTCCTCCTTACTGTTAATTTATGGTATTGTTCTCAGATATAATAGACTAAATTAAAACTTATTTTCTGTGCAGTAAGCATTTCTGTGCAATAATTATGCTATACCTGACACAGAGGAGGAGAAATAGACCCCTGCATAGCAAACAAGTCCTTAGACTCTGATTTCATTAGGTGGGAATTTAATTTTCTCTTGTGTACTTGCATAAAAACCTATGGTTCAAGAGGGTAAAAATTGGGATAATGGAAAGATTACTATTTCCTGATTCCATTTGTGCTCTTGATGATGTCAGATGCACAGCAGGACTTGCCTCTCACCAGAGGGGTTTGGGGTGAAGTTTTGTAGTGAAATTTTCAACATAAGACCAGAGTAAGCTGGATACGGTCTGTTATGGGTAGAATATGTGCTAGTGTGCTTAGGCACTGATACTTTACAGCTGAACTTTTGTGTGTTTGAAAATCTCATTCTTCCAGAACGACTGGCCTGAAGGCTACCAACTTTCAGCTTCCATGAATTTTCGCTGGCCTCAGTGTGTACCTAACAACCTAAAAACTCTAATACCTAATGCTAGCAGTGAAGCAGTGCAGCTCATGAGAGACATGCTGCAGTGGGATCCCAAAAAGCGGCCAACAGCTAGTCAGGTTTGATTTTATTTTCTTTTTGTCTGCTTGTGATTTTTTTTCTTTTACTGCAAGGAACAGTCATTTAGCAGTTGCTGAGGGATGCCTTCTTAGAAAGGAAAAGAATCCAAGAACAATTTGGAAGACAAAGGAGGGTAATTAAGAGAGAGAAATTAATCTTTTGCATGAAACATCAGCTGCTTGGGGTATGTGCTCAATAATGAAAGGTGTGACTGCAGTATGTAAACACACTTGAATTAAATGTAATCCAGTCACTGTGAATAGCAGCAGAGATAAGGTAGGATGTATGGCTGAAGACTGTGATGCTGTTCTTTCATTGTGGTGTGCCACAGAATGACTGGGATCTGGTTTAGTCACCTTGCCCTAGGCAGCCTGTGCCAGTGCTCAGTTACTCTCAGAGTAAAAACGTGTTTGATGTTCAGAAGGAGCTTCCTGTGTTTCAGTTTGTGCCCATTGTCACAGGGCACACCTGAAAAGAGACTCACTCAACCTCCTTTGCATTTTCCCTTCCGGTATTTTTGCATACTTTGACAAGATGCTCAAGAACCTTCTCTTCTTCAGGCTGAACAGTCCCAGTTCTCTGTCTTTTCTCATATGTGAGATGCTGCAGTCCCTTAATCACCTTTGTGGCCCTTTGCTGGACTCTCTCTACTATGTCCATCTCTTTCTTTTTTTAGGGAGGCCAAAACTGGACACAGCAGTCCAGGCATGGCCTCACCTGTGCTGAATAGAGGGGAAGGATCACTGCTCTTGAGCTGCTGGCAGCACTCCTGCTCAGGCAGCCCAGGACTTAGTCTTAATTGCAGCAAGGGCACATTTGGTGCCATTCCATGTTCAACTTGGTGTCTACCAGGTCCTTCCCTGCAAAGCTGCTTTCCAGTGGTTGACCCCAGCATGTACTGGTGCATGTGGTTATTCCTTTCCAGGATGTGGTACTTATCTTTATTAAATTCATGAGGTTCCTGTCAGCTGGTTTCCTCAGCCTGCCAAAGTCCTGCAGGGTGACAGCACAACCGACCAGTGTGTCAGCCCCTCCTTTTACTTGTGTCATCAGCAGATTTGCTGAGGGTGCAGCAACATCATTAATGGAGGTGTTGGAACAGTATTTGCCAGTAATGCCCTCTGGGGACACAGATACTTCCTGGCCTCTAACAAAGACTGCCACCCTTTGGGCCTGACCTTTCAGCCAGCTGCTAGTCCACCTTGCTCTCTGTTCCTCCAGCCCAGTGTTGCCTGCATAAGGCTTGCTTTTGCTGGGCAGCCTCAGCTCAAATGCATTGCAGATATGTTCCAACATCCTGTGCATAAGCATTGCCCAAATCATCAGTATTGCACATACAGGTGGTGGTAGCTGCTGGTTTTGGGTAGTACTCAACTAATACAATGAACAGGGCACCTTCTGGAAAACAGATGGGATTCTTGACACTTTACTTCAAGGGCCATAGCTGAATCTTTGTGATTTAATTCAGGCTTTAGTACAAATTGCAAGTAAAAGTTTGTATTAATGAAAACAGTTAAATAGATTAAGAACTCTCAAAGGTAATGAAGAACAAAAAAACACTGACTGTAACAGTATTAAGAGAATTAACAGATGTTTTATAGTAAAGTACAAATAGAGTGAGGAATCTGAGTTTTTAGAAGCTTTCTGCAGTAAGAAGTCTTTGGAAAGGGAAGATGAGCGTGCTTGAAACAGCAAGGTAGATTAATTGTCTTTACTGACAACTTCCTAATTACATGTAAGGCAGATAAAAGTACTTTTACTAACTAACTTTACTAACCTGTCATAAAAGGTAGAGGCTAATTTCCATAAGGGTTGTCTTTCTTTCACTCAATTCATTCTCAGAAATGGAGAATGCAGGAGATGTCTCTGGGGTCATTGAGTTTGCTGGCCGAATCTGTAATGGTGAGGAGGATGTGTTTCACATGCATGCATGAAGAGACAGCATGTGATGAAACATGCCTTTAGATGCCATATACCTGGTTAACTATCTTAATTCTCTAGAACCTTTCCTTCTGTAGTAGTCCACAGAGGATTTGACAACTCAGTATCTCTTGAAGCTTCTCTACTATTGCGACATTTTTTTGAAGTGGATTGTGCTCACTAGAACCTAGTGTTGAGAGATGGGTCTTCTGCTGTTTCCTACCTCACAAAAAAGAGAAATTAGATTTGTACTGATACATAGGACTGGGGTAAATGACAAACTGTGGTTTTCTAAGCCTAACATCTTTATTACCTTTTAGGCACTTCGATACTCGTACTTCCAGGTTGGGCACGCCCTGGGCATTCAGGATCTGGGAAAACAAAAGGAACTGCATAATAAATTGTCTCTGCATATTAAGCCTGTCCCTCCAGCACAGCCCCCTCTGAAACCTCATGCCCGAATTTCATCAAGGCCTTTTCAACAAAGTCAGTCTTCTCAGCACATGGTGTACACATGTAAGACAGATAACTCTGGGACTGAGCACAGTAACTACTTACAGGAGGACAAGTCTAACCAGATTCTTCTGCCTGCAATACACAATAAGGTTCCTCAGCAGGTAAAGGTCCATCTAACATCAGCTTTCTCATATACTGCCTGACTTTTTTCCTTGTGTTTCTTTTTCTTATTCTCTTTCAAGGTTCTTGTATCTGGCCAAAAGTACAGCAAGTGGAACTAAAAAATTGTTCCAATGTTCCAACTTTCTGCTAGAAACTGGAATTTCCTCTATTGAAATCTAAATCTGGTTGCTGTAAAGCAAGTCAGTTTCTCATTTTAGAATAATTGTGGTACCCTTTACACCTGCACCATTTACAGGATGACACTGATTTCATATGAATAAAACGGATGTACAGTGTTCAAAATATTAATGAGATTGATGCCAGAGAGAAAAGTATGAAGGTGAATAGTATTGAAATGAGGGAAACTATTGCCTTCATCCATTTAAGGCATCCAGTTTATTGACTGGGAATAATAGTCCCTTTGGTCTTCCAAACTGGACTTTGAAACCAACAGATTCTCTTTGCAGCATGAGAATGTACCCTTTCTGTCTACTAGTGAGGATACTGGATTCATAAAATAGGTCATGAGAGCAGACAGTGTGAATGCTTCTGTGACAGGGTCAGTCATAAGCAGGGTCTGTAGTAACCAGTGTCACACAAAGTCTAAATGTACTGCTGAGTCTGACTGAAGAGACACAAATTTGTGCCTGTACTGTCCTGCAAGAGAAAAAAAAAAATTAAATGTCTAGACACAGGCTCATGGAAACATAAGAGTTCATGCAGTTTTATATTCCCCACATGGGTCTAGAAGTAAAACTTGAGCCTAAGGTAATGGTTTAGGAGGTGCATACTGGAACATGAATAGGATTGGAACTGAGATCCAAGAAATTTCTTCTTCTGTCAGTTCAAGACACTTTATTACAGGACAAAATGAAGAAGATATATAATAGTGTCAGCAGGCTACAGATTGTGTTTTTAGCCTGTCTAATGGAAGTTGAAGACTGTGTTGTTACAGCTCGACTACCACTATTGCTCTTTGAGATAGAGGGGAAAAGAAGCCTGTTTGTTCCTGTCACCTAGATTGTGGTCTAAGCATGTGGGTTTGTTTCTTTTCAATCTTTATAACAGAAACCATCTGCTGGGTCTGAGAATACAAATGGTGAACTTAAACCAAAACCTAGGCGAAGATGGGGACATCTTCCCAGGACAATAAAGAATTCTGAAGACTGGGATAATTTGGAAGACCTTGATTTCAGCTCTTCCATCATGAGAATGGACTTGAAAAACAAGAAGAGGCAGAATGATGAAACCCTTTGTAGGTAAGGGTTTTTTTATGTGTATGTGCTATTTGGTCTATTCCTTTGCCCTTTTCCTCTTTAGTAATGTTGCTCTTCATGCTTTCTTTGTATCTAGAAATGTGTATCTATACAATTTTGTGTTCTTTTTTCCCCCCACTGAAAATTATAACTGGCTTAAGTCTCTTGAAGTTAATTTTTGAATATATACTTTTGATTTTACGTGTGGACCATTTTGACATATTCCACGATTCCACTCATATAAACTGTTTTGGGCAAATCTGAGCTGCAGTTTCCGTGGATGGTATAGAGAAGAAAGAAACTTAATGAGTGATTTATAAAAACTTTAAAAGCAGTATATAAGGGAACTAGAAACACAAATCTGATTTTCAGGGGCATTTGCAGGACTTTGGGTTGATAATATTCCCTGTTGCCTGTGTGTTTGTGGTGTAGCAAACACATTACAAGGAAATGATTCTTGGAGATGGGATGTAATTGAAAAAGTCAGCTGTGAATAAGCATGTGTTATAAGAATTGGACTATACATAACAATTTTTGAATTACAGATTTGAAAGTATTTTGGACCTGAAGCCTTTGGATGCTGTAGGCTCTGGCAGCAGTGCACGAACTTCCCATGCGGCCTTTTTGCGGCAGGACACTCCTACATTGCGAGTTTCTGCAGCAAAGCAGCACTACTTAAGCCATTCTAGGTATCGACCTGGTTAGTAAAATACTTTCCTTTTCTTCCTGCAATTCCAACAGGAGTATGAAATAGTCATTGGTACATTAGCTCTTATCCTTTGAACTTGTGGAGAAGAGCTACTGCTCAGAGAACATGAGAACAGAAAGAGCTTGTAGTGTAGATGGCCACGACACATACTAAATTCTAGTAGTCTAGCAATACAAACAAGGGGACAGGATTATTTGTACTTCTTCCTCCTCATGGATACTTTTATACTTGGAAGTGCGTTAGAAAATGTCTGTATATGTGCCAAACTACTCCTTGTCTCCCTAAAAAGTGTAAGATTGGTCTTCTAGATTGGAAAAGAAAGTGCCATGTGTTTACTTCATGAGCGTATAGTACCATGAACAACTGGCAAACTAGTAGTGGGAATATGCTTTGCTGTAGTTGGGAGTTAAGTAAAACACAGATATGTTTCTCAATAGAGAATTACATGTCTGTGTTCATAACCTCTGCTATACTGACACCAGTGCTGAGGCAGGGTGAAGTACAGGAGGCAGACAGCATGTATGCCAATATTTAAAATTAGATGAATATAAGTGCATTCTTTCTCATAATTTCTATTCATAATGGTAGTGTTAGCTGTTTATTCACTTGTAATACTACTTCTTCAAAATTAATTAAGTAAACTAGAAAGTATTGTGAGTGCAAACTCAGTCTTTTTTCCTGAAACAATAATTGACTTTCAATTTGTCTCAGATAGAGTTTTAGTAGCTAAAACTTGTTTTACTAGAGGAAATTGTAAAACACATTGCTCCCAAGACTGCTTAGCCATATCATAAATTGTGGGTGCCTCCTTGAATGCTAGGTACCCTGCTTAAATACGGGAGCTGTATTAAATAAAAATAATCTGTGTCATCTGAACTGTACTGCAAATTATTTGCACAGTCCAAGGTTTCAGTAGAGACACTGAAGAAGAGTACAGTGCTATGAGAAATAGAATTGCCATCATTGCCATCATTGCCTCTCAGGTTATCTTGTTGCTGTTAGGATTTTATTAGAAGCACAGATTTCATGTACATAGCAAGGTTCATTTTTTGCGGCATGAGAATATTTGTGGCCTTGATGTAAGGACCCTGTACTGTGATATAAGCAGCCATTGATGCTAGTGGAACTACTTACATTGTGATGTTTGCAGTATTAAGGCCTGTCTCTAGTTCCAGCACTCCTATATTATGAGAGGATGGAGAATGACTCAGAGAGGTAGAGGTTTTGGCTAAGTTGAACCAGACATCTGCTCTAAGATAGTGCATCAGGTGGAATGAATGCAGGCCTGTGTGGGAGATTTTAGTGAAGTAATCTTTATATTTTTGCAATATAGGAATAAGCACCAGGAATAGCATAGTTTCCACTTCAAACAAAGAGTCTGTTCCATCTAATTGCTGGCCCAGTTCTGGTTTGTCTGGGAAAACCTCTGGTTTGGGAGGAAGTACTACCAACGGGATGAATTCAGGTAAGGTGTGCTTAGGACTCTTAAGAAATGATAAGAAGTGATGTCTGTGCAATTCCTCACCACTGTATTTTGGAGTCATCCATTTCCAAAATGTTGTCAGCTCTGAAGACACCTGCTTACCCTGTCTGTTCTTTGTGTTAAAATTGGTTATGAGGCTCTTCTTTGGGAGACTGCCTTAAAGTGAAACATAGTAATTTCTTCTAATGAATCCTCACAAGTCTGAAGTACTCCCATAGAAGCCTAGACAGCTTAGGTCTGTTCAACCTGAAATATTTCGTCTTGTTTTCAGTTTCCCTCTTCAGTTTCTTTAAGTCTTATTTTCTTGTTTCCAAACTATTTGTATTCCACTCATTTGTAACACAGTCTGATGCTGACAGTCTCCTGAATGCAGGTGTATATATAGGAGTTCTGGATTTCAAGTGTCTTCAATTAAGTTCTTGTTTTGATCAGTCCATGATCAGGCTTGATCTTGAAAATGATCCCTTAGGGCATTTGTCTCCTGTTGACAGTATGGGAGATCCATTGTGTTCAGGTGTTCCTTACCATTTCTTTCAGGGCCCATAGGATCAAGTGGTCTAGCAAGTGCTTATGTCCGTTCATTTCGGAAGAAGGAAGTAGGTTCTGCTGAGCAGAGGGTTCAGTTAGCACCAGTTGTGGACCCATCCTCAGGTAAGTCCAGTACTAAAGTTCTCTTGGTCCCTTGGTCAGTACTCCAGTAATGCTGTATGTATGCAGCACTGAACTATTGATCTTTGCTTTCAGTCAGTATATGACTGACTAGAAGTATATTGTTTGTAACCTTGCAGAACTTCATATGGAGAAGGATTTGGTTTGTGTTTACTTTCGTTTATTAAATATGTGGGTTTATCTACAGCTTATTTCAATGGGACCTAGAAGTCGGTGTGAGAGCTGGCAGAATTCACATTTGCCAAATCCTCTTAGTCTGCTAAGGTTTATGGGATTGGATCTGCTATTGTTCAGTATGGACAGCTCTCACCCAACCTTTGTATCACAGAATTCTTTGTCCTTTAGAATTTGCATCTCTGACATCAGTCAGACCCCTCCTCGGATGGCCATCGCTCAGTTCACCTACGAAAAGCTCGCCGCGGTTAATGCCTCTCCCGCCGGCAGCGGAGCCGATCCACGGGCGCGTTGACTGGTCTGCGAAGTACGGTGCTCACCGGTGACCTGGGAAATACCCTCTGAGCAGTGCATGCATCCCCGGAAACGGTGTCCAACATGAGACCATTTCATACTGCTTCATATACCTGTATATTTAAAAGGAACAGATCTTCCACAAATGAGACATTTTGAAGGGTTTTTTTACTTATTTGCATTAATCTGAATGCAATCTTGTACCGTTTTGTATAAACATGTTTTGTTACATACTTGGGTCCATTTATTTTCATAAAAGTGATACATTTTGTATATAAGGCTTAGGGTATTTGGCATTTTTATACAGTAAATTTTTATAATGAACTTTAAAAAATTTTAACTTTTTTATTAGACTCAATTTTTTTTTATAGAAGTGGATAAAAAAAACATGGTGCAATATTGCGGTGAAGGAGAAGTATTGAGGAAGGGGCATTCATTAGACATTTTCTGAAGTTAATGTGCTAATTGAGGCTGTGTAATTTCAAGTGGTGCCATATCTCAGTGCCACACTTCTGTTGTCCTATACTCATTGCTTCGTACTGACATCAGAGGAGTGAGTGACTTAACAGTCTAAACTCTCCTTCGCAGTCACTCAGAGACTGCTAAAAGATAGCGGGAGGCACCTTTTTTAAAAATCCATTTTTGCCTTTGAAAGGTTTTTTGTTGGACTGCTATTCAAATTTACCAAATCTGAGAACTCTTGTTTGGTGAAGAGTAAATACTCTTCTGTAGATCCGTTTTCTGACACAGTGTTCATTTTTCTTGCTTAAAAGTTTTTCTTTGGCATTGTTCACTGTGAAGTAGAATGTGGACCTACCTCTGTTAAATTCATGTAAATGGTCTAATGATTTCTAAGAAGAAAAAAGAGATTCTATTTCTTCTTTTTCTTTTGTTGCAAATGTAAGATCTGAAGATATATTAAAGACTGTATTAACATAAATCAATAAAACTAATAAAACTGGTTTCAGAGTAACAAAATATTAATGATATGCCAGCAACATAGTTTAAGGAAACAAGATCTATGCAGCTGACTTACTTTTCACAACTGTTTTAAATTGCTGCTGTTCTAATCACTTAAGGGAAAAAAAACTCCAAACAAAACAAAACCACAAAAAACAAGAGGAAGTGGGTCGGTCTAACCGTACTTATGTTTATACTCAGTTCTTCTTCACTCAATACATCTTCTTTTACAATGTGAAGAATATGTCAGCTTCCCTAAATTAGGCCCAGAGGCTCTACAGGAAGAAATGGGATCTTATGTGGTCCTGTTAAGAAAATGTTGTAAAACTGTGGTTGATTTCACAGAAATTGATACAGTTCTTTGAAGAGCAGTTTAACTCAGATTTTGAGAGTATTATTTATATCAAGGTATAGAGAAAAGAAAGTAGCCTCATAAACTGGTTTAGTTCTACTCTGGAAAGAAGTACCAGAGTCGGCCATCAGCAGAAGATTCTTTTAGAGCACAGTCAGCATTTTGTCTGTTCTGCATCTCCTTCTACAGAAAAAAGATAAAACCATTCAGTGCTGTGGGAGAACACCTTCCATAGCTGTGTTCTGGAGCAGTGCTGCCAAAGCTGAAATGTGCTGACAAAATGCCCTGCGGAAGTGTGCAGAAATGCTTATCTTTCTGAGTTCATTGTGTGATCAGCTCAGGAAAATAGTTTATTTATGAGACTTAAATCCAGCCTAAAGGGATCAGAGCAGGTACAGTTCTTAGCTTCCACACATTTCACAGGAACTGAATAGTTTGTGTGTCAATGAGATCCTCTCCATGGGATCTGCTGGCACACACAAGGGGCAGCTGTTGTGGTCTTGAGACTGAGAACAAATTCTGGCCTTTCAGTGCTTCCCATGGCAAACGTGGGATTTTGAGGAAGCTGTACCCTAGGGTAGGCTGCTGGCTCAGTGCTGCAGGCGGACCCACAGGGTGCACTGGTCACTGTTTGCTTTTATGAGCTCAGCCCACAGTGAGACAGTACCAGATAAAGCAAAAGTGTGCATGAAACTTACACATGCCAAAGACATCTTCTGTATCCTGCTGCCCTGTTATCTGAGCATAGCAAGTACTAACTCCAAACCATACCTAACTGTTTCCACAGCAGTGATGCTAATGCTTAGCAGTAAAGCAAAGCAGCCATTTGATTTCTAAAGTGCACACTGACGGGTGTCAGTGGGTAGGTGGAAAGCAAAATATGTATATTCGTGATAGAACTGGAAAGATACTGTTTCTCTTGGAAATAAATACCTGTATTTATGTCTATGTATAATTTAATATATTTTATCACCGGGTGATTTGTCTTAAGAATAAACACCCTGAACCTCTGCCAGTATCCCTAGGCCTAAGCAGGCTATTTAAGTAGTCTGGTTTGTACACTTAGTTCCTACGAGTGGAAGGACACAAGTCATGAGAACAGGCAGCTGAGGCTTGGATTCATCATACCTAAGTGTGAGCTCCTGTGTTGGGAGGTGACTCACTTCTGGTGAGTGAGAACCATGTCAAAAGAATTCTGTCTCATTTGAGAGCATACTAACATTCTGGAGATACCCGAGTCTCTCCACTAAGGAGGGGGACAGCTCTGTGATATTTAAGTAACACAGGATGAATCTGAATCTGGCCTGTAAATCTCTGAACCTTTATCAGACTGCCAGTGCTTCTTTTGACTATAGCATTCAGACTTTAATCTGTTCAGTCAAGAGATTAGAAAAGTAAGTTCTATTTAAATTTTTTTTTTTTTTTTTAAGCTCCTGTTTTCCTAAATTAGCCTTTTATTTTTGAGGAAAAAACTAATAATCTTGACATTGAGAATCGCAGCTAGTTTTAACTTAGTGAAACAGAAAATTAGCTAGATGTCATGGCTGTATCTTTTACTCAAGCACCTTCTTACTGATGCTGGAAAAGTTCTTTTTGAGCAGGACGGAACTGAGTTTATGTATTTTACTGTGCTGTCTCTGTGCAATACAGATATGGACAAGATGGAGGTCTTTATATACTGAAATCTGGACAAGCAGCATATCTGAGAATTTATTATATGTAACCTACTACTTTACACTTTAATATTTAGCAGCATCTTTGTGGAAAATGTTTTTAGAATTGTAGTGTTTACATTTTCTCAGGCTTAGGCATAACATGTAATAATAAAGGAGTCTGACAGTGGATTTATTTACCCCTGTAATCCAGATTTTCCAAAAAGTAGTGTAAAAGTGCCATGATGTTAACAAAAAAAAAAAAAAAAAAAAAAAAAAAAAAAAAAAAAAAAAAAAAAAAAAAAAAAAAAAAAAGGCAAAAATATCCATTCCCATCGTGTTCCTGTATCTGATATGGCTGTTGATATGAGCAGGATGTTCCATAATGTGAGGAGGAAAACATGTACTGAAAGACAATTTTAGAACTTAATATGGAAGGGAGGTGTGGAATTGTCAGAGATGTGGAGGAATAATGGTTCTTGTTTATTCAGTGTTTTTGTTCAGAAACATTTTAAATGTTTTATTCCTTGTGTGTTAAATGTCCTGCCCAGAATAAAGTTATCTTTGAGGAAGCACTGACTGACTTACTCTTTTACTCAGTTTTTAATGAAAGCACTTTAGTTTGCCTTTTAGTTTGGTTGGGATTTTTTAATTTGGGTTAATTTTTTTTTTTTTAAACAAGCCGTCTTGGAGGGGCACTGCACGTTCAGTGGGCACGTGGTTTGAGTCTAAGCATGTAATTTCTGCAATATGATGTAAGTTCCCTGTAAAACGGATTGCTTAGTCTTCCTTGGCTGTCTGCTTCTCTGAAACTACCTGCAAGACTGAATTATAATATGTATAACACTTCAGGGGGACAGGCAGCTGAACTAAATTGTTGTGGGTCCCTTTCCAAGGGAAAGTATTCTGTTCTGTTCCTGTTCTATTGTTCTGTGTCTTGTGTCACTTCTATAGCCTTCTCCCCTGACTTTCAAGGCAGTAGAAGCTGAAAACAGTTTATACGTTATAAGGCCAGCCCTTTTGTTAGCTGTTTAAGTGCCCTGAGAAGCATTTTACCTCGTGGGGGGGGGGAGGGGGGGTTTTCTTGGGGTTGGTTCCGGATTTTTAGGTGGGTGTGGGATTGGAAGAACCGATAAAGTGAAATAAAAGACACAAGTTGCATACACGCGCGCTGACTGCACGAATGTGAATATAAAGCACAAAACAATGGCAGACTGCCCCATGCAGCGCCTCACTTGGATGTGTCTGCAGTCTTGGAAGCTTGACTACCCTACGTTCTCCTACAAATGGACCTTGAGCTTGTTTGGAGGTTCTAGCAGGGGAGCGCAGCTACCGTATACCCTTGACCGATGAACGGTACCGTCTCTATCGGGGAGGTCGTCCTCTTCGACCGAGCGCGCAGCTTCGGGAGGGACGCACATGGAGCGTTGAGGGAGGAAGGGGACACCCGCCTAGCCAGCCAGATCAGCCGAATCAACCCTGGCGATCAATGGGGTGACAGATGTCGCAGCCAGATCGCCCTCACATCCAGACAATGCGTGCTCCCAAGAACGTATTTATAGCTCAATACTGCGGATTCCTTAATGTCACGGTTTGTGAAAATGCCTGAAAAACCAGTGGCACAGGGCATGGAATCATCACTTTGCAGCGACAAAACCACCCGAGAGAAACCGGTTCTTAACCCAGTTAAAAAATTTTAGCGAAATTCTCTGGGGTGAATTGTCTCTCCAGAAGGCTTTGCGAAACTTGCAAATTTACGGCTTCCCATTGGCGGCTGCTGCGCTCGCCGCCGTCCCGTGGCCTGGGCGGGAGGGCTGCGGGCGGGGCTGTGGGCGGGGCTGAGGGCTGCGGCTGATCGCGGCTGCGGCTGATCGCGGCTGCGGGCGGGGCTGAGGGCTGCGGCTGATCGCGGCTCCGGGCGGGGCTGCAGGCTGCGGGCGGGGCTGAGGGCTGCGGCTGGTCGCGGCTGCGGGCGGGGCTGAGGGCTGCGGGCGGGGCTGAGGGCTGCGGCTGATCGCGGCTGCGGCTGATCGCGGCTGCGGGCGGGCCGGTGGCAGTGCTCTGCGCTGGGGCGTTGCGTGCTGCTCTCGGCATCACCGCTGAACCCTCCGTGTGTGTGAGTAGTGTGGGCCCCTCGGATTTCTCTCTTCCTGCTCCCCCCGCCAAGCGGTGCTCGGGTGGGGCGCGGAGCCGGGAGTCCGTGGCGGGCTCAGGCCTGAGCCGTGGCTCCGCTACCGCGGACGGGCTCCCCGTGTCCCCGCTCGTCATCCCGTGCCTGCCGAGGGCTGTCCCGGGAGCGGCGGGAGCTGATGGCCGCGGGGGGGCTGCCTGTCACAGGCTGAGCGCGGGACGTGCCCCGGGCCGGTGCTGAGTGGAGTGGAAGCGCTGCTGGGCTGCTGAATGCAGGCGGGGAAATCGGGCCCCGGAGTCCTGGACCTGCGGGACGTGCGAAGCACAGCTGCTCTCCGGCCCTCTTCACCCATGTTCTTCACCCATGTTCTTCTGCTCCGTGTTCTCCTTGCGCGGGAGCGATCGCTTCTGGCCCTGATATTCATGTTCCCCCATTCCCCCGTTAGCCCAGATGGCCTTCACAAATCACAGCAAGGGAGCAGATTCTTCGCCAAGTCCTTCTTCCTGTTGAGCTGTCGGGCTGAGGGGGATGGACAACAACCTACCCGCAATTGCAGCTCCTGGCTGCAGATTGCCACTTTATCTCTTTCTGATGAAGGGCAGAGAAGGGAGAAACTCTTTGCCCATCACGAGTGCTCTTTCCATCAGATTTTAGTTCACAAGTTGGACTTTCTCTTTCAGTATGGCATAGCGTTACGGATCAGTTCTAGGGACCTGGAACGCTGCAGCTCATTTCAAAGTTTGTTGATCTCCTGGTATTTAAAAAGATATTACTTATAAAGTATTACAAAAGAAGCAGCCACCATGCCTTTACCTTCCTTTTCCTGTGCTGCATTGAGGCGTGTTGGGCATCAGTGACTTGCTTATGTCCTGTGACCTGTTCACTGGCCTGTTAAGAGCAGGTCTCCAGAAGTGGCATTGAGGACGAGTGGCTCTTCTGTTTCTTTAGTTTTTTAAACTACAAGGTAAAAATCACCTTTGGCTTTTTTCTCCTTTCTCTGTGAATGTAGCTGTATCACAAGTAGCTCCTGTTTCATTCTGTTCTTTTGTATAGTTCACAGTGATACTTTTCTAATTCACTGCTATATTTATCAGTGGTAGAGATAGTACTTGTCAGTGTTTTAGTTCCCTGTGACTTACCTAAGAGCAATCAGAGGCCCCTGAGCAGGTGGGGGTGGAATAGCCTGGTTTATTTGAATTCCCGTGGCCTGATGCAGTCTCATATTTTGTGTTCTCTTTTCATGCCTGTTGGCTAACAAGCAGATCACTTTGTGCGTGCTCAAGGTCTTTTTTCTCTCTGCTTATGAAGGAGCTCTTGGAACTTTGGAAACTGAAGGTTACTGTTTACATGCCAAGAGCCTCTTTTACAGAATTACTTCAACTGTGGGTTGAAGTGACAATAAATCACATTACAGAGGGAAAACAGCTCTCAGTTGCAGCAAGGACTTGCTATAAGGGTGTTCTGCATGTGAAGTGCCAGTATGATTAAATTTGATTGCTCTCTTGGCTTATGGCTCTACAGTGGAATCCAGTTCCTGCTGAGGCCTAAACAGTAGTCTATTCAAAAAATAACAATTAATAGCCTCATTTATGAAGTCATTAAAGAACTAAAATGCTGCTTGCAAAGCAGCATTAGATAATCTGAAAAGTCCATAAACTTTTGCATAGCAACAGGGTTTATTAATAGAACTGTAGCCTGTAGAAGGACAAGTAGTGCAACACTCTGAAACTCTGTATTTTAATCTGGATTATTACAGAAGAAACAGGCCATTCTGAAGTTTCTACTGATCCTCATATTGCGATATTTTCGAAGTTTCTACTGATTGCTGGATCACCACAGCTAGAAAAAAAAAGTGAGAGGCTTAAAAGTACATTCCTATTCTTCACCTAAATGTGTATAATTAATGTTCAGATACTTTTGGCATTCCTGGATACAAGGTCTGCTAGTTTTGGAAACTTCATTTACTGCCTCTTCTGTTTGATCAAACTTGGCTGTTAGTGGTGTCTGTGTAACTTCAGTGCTAAAACTTATATTTTCTAGAATTTTTAAGGTTTTTCTTTGTGGTGATTTTTTTTTTCTGTTATGTCCTCCTTAGCAACTTGATGCTTACTTTTGCTGAATTTCATGGGAATGAAAAGTCTATGAAATAGTTTGACTTGATTGTGCAGCAAGAAAATGAAATCAGTTTAGTTATTTGCTAAAATATTTTGTCAAAAATTGACTTAAATTTTTGTTCTGTGAGTGACCTGTGAACCATTATTCCAGCTGCCATCAGATTTTTGTATCATTATTAACTTACTATCTCTCATAACTCTTTCAGGTAACAGAAAGTTTGAAGTCATGTCTGCAAAACCAAAACTTTACTACTTTGATGGAAGAGGCAAGATGGAATCGATTCGTTGGTTGTTGGCTGCAGCTGGGGTCGAGGTTTGTTTTAGAGCTTTTAACCTCTAGCTGCACATTGGTAAGCTTGTCTTTGAGGCAGATCACATGTTATTAGTCAAAAAAGAAAAGGCATCCCAAGATGCAGTAGTAAATTAACTTGGCTATTCAGTGTAGTTACTTTTACTTACACAAAAGCATGGCTTCAAGTTACATGTTTTCTGAGCAATGACACTATAAGCAGTGATACTTGTTTAACGTAATCCGTAATTAAGCACTTGATTACTGAGCCAGAGCTGCTGAGCTCAAAGCTGTGTTCCTCGCATAACAAGTGTTATCTGTGCCTGGTAAAACAGCCATTTACTTTCTCTAGTCTTCCTGTTTTCAGTTGAATGCTCACACAGATATTTTTGTTTTATTTTTCACTTCACTGGCTGCGTCCTCCATAATAAGAGGTAAGCTTTCATCATTTAGATGAAATTTAGCAGGGTGAAGAGAGCAAATGGACCCACATATGTAGGGAAATTAGAAATCTCTAAATACTTGGGTAAAACAGAGAAGGAAGACACCACTTTAATTTTTTCTAATGGTATATGATTTATTTATTCATTTGCTGGCCATCTTGGTGGTAAACTGGTAATACAGTTTCAGGACACAAAGGACTAGTATTTGCTCTGAGTGTCCTCTTTCACACAGTAAGCTGTTACAGTACATAGAGTTACTTGTGTACTGAGCCAAGTTTTTTAAAAAGACCACCAATCTTTTTTTGAAGGCCTTGCAGAAGACAGAACTGTCTGCTTCCCTCCATCATTTGTTCCTATGTTTTAAGTCCCTCTTCTTGATAAGTACCAATTAATACTTTTTTTTTCCTTGGAATATTTTTTTTTCAGCTTCTCATCAACAGAAACCTGGTTTCTGAATTTTAGGCTGTGATCACACTTGCTATGGTTGAACATTGGCAGTGTGTTAATGTGCCTGATCTTCTGGGGTTTCTCTAGTATAGCAAATCTTAATTACTAACATGAGTGGCATACATGTTATGAGAGAGGCTGAATGAGCAAGGCATTAGGGATTGGTAACATCAACCATTTTCTAGTCTCCATGCTGTGCACATGATCACAGACATGTATGGCACATGCAAACACATACATGTAGATATCTAACTTTGGGGTCCTAATCTTGAACTCGGTTTCTCCATAAGTAACACTGATTGGACCAGCCATCCTCAACCATATTGAGTACAACTACATCCATCTGATCACCTGCAATTCTGTATCTTTTTGTTTCTCATTTGTGAATATTTAATCTTCAGGTGTCTGAAACATGTATCTGTATCAAACTTCTGCAGGGTTTGGTACTTGTACACTATTTTGTAAAATCTTTAACTTCCGAAGAATTTGTTCCTGTCTAGCTCCCAAATCAAAATATCACACAGCAGATTTTTTCCACATTCTAGAAAGCATCTTAAGGACAGCCTAGAATGTATTGTTGATTGTTACACATTACATTGCCTGTTGAATACCAAAAAAACCATCCTCACTCTAGTTCTTATTGCCTGTTAGTCTGCTAGGGTTTTCCTTAGCAGCATTTATCAAGTGTGACACTCCAGGAGATACTGCCAGCGCTTCTGTCCTTGGTGTGTTCTCCCTTAGAGTCATACTGAAATGAAAAGAACCATGATGTATATTTTTTTTTCCTTTTATGGTGCTTTAAAAGCTTATCTCTTCCAGAAATGTGAAAAGCTTCTTTCTTCTCTTCCTCACTCTCTTTTGTCAGTTTGAAGAAGAGTTTTTGGAAACCCGAGACCAGTATGAGAAACTCCTGCAAAGTGAGTCCATGTGAAACCACAAGAAAAGTGTAACCAGACGTAGAGAAGATGTGTGAAGTCTTTGAAGACTCTGTGTCCTTCTTTCCACACAGAAGAGTAAAGCTGAGAGCTGTGGGCAGCTGCAGAGGCTGGGTTTTCCACATGTAGACAGATGAAACTGCAAACTGAATGTCTTTCCAACCTGGAGGGTTTGCCAGGCCTCTGGATTCTTCTGTTCTCCATTTGTCTATGCATTCCACCTGGTCTCACAGACTTAACCATGGACTTCAGTAACCAGAAAATATGTATCCCAACATTTCATGTTATGTTCTGATGTAGCCTAAAGATTGGTCATAAGAGAGAAATTTGTCAATACAACACTTGCTTCAAATAGTGTTTGAATAATGGAACAGAATTTTTTTACATTGTTTGCAACTAGACACTTTTTACTCTGTTGAGATGTTTAGTGTGATTGTCTCCACTGCATTTCAATTTCATTTCAAAATCTGCTGTACACAGGCCTGGCTGAAACGTCGGTGAAATTTTTTTAAAGGAAGGATGGTAACCCACAATAATTGTTTTTCAGTTTAATTTGTCTGCAGCTCTGTAATTTATTTTTTGCATGGAAGAAGACCAGTTTAATACAATGACTACCCACAGCAAGCTCACCATAAAAGCAGTGTTCCTCTGCCTCTGAAGACAGCAGGAAATCTGACATGGAGTTATTAGATCAGTCAAATAATGTGTGTCTGTCCTTTTAGGTGGATCCCTGCTGTTTCAGCAGGTGCCCATGGTGGAGATGGATGGGATGAGGATGGTGCAGACCAGAGCCATCCTCAGCTACCTTGCAGCAAAGTACAACCTCTATGGGAAGGACCTGAAGGAAAGAGCCTTGTATGTAACAGTATTATTCTTCTTGAATTTAGTATAGTAGTTCAGATACATCTAGAAGTAATTGCATAATTGCACACACACCTGTACACAATCACCTGTGGGCCTCAGTGATAATCAACTTGCAGTGAGCTTGAGAAGGCACAGTTAGATTCAAGTGAACTGATTTGTTCTCAGTTACTTTTCACATAAAAGTATTTGAGTCATGGGTTTGTTGTGCCTTACTGAAAGATTAATACAGACTGACATAGGTATTCAGTAGGTGACTGGCATGTAGATGCTGAACTACTTTTGCAACCAGAAAACTCTGGAAAGAAATGCTTAGTTTCTAACTTTTGGCTGCAAAATAATAGCTGTCATTGACATTATCTTTGGTTACATGATGTCCCACTGCACTGTAAAAAGTGTGTGGTTTAGATCTTTGGAAGCTGGGGAAAGAATAGCTAAAAGCTGTTGAAAAACTATTGGTTTCATGTACAATAACATACATGTGAAAATACATCTTGATGTTGTGTCTGTGAAGAAAAAAAAGTATGATGGGGCTGTCTCAGTATGTAGCATTTTAAATGTCCATCTACAGTACAAAACCTGCTCTGATAGCTCTGGAAAAGGGACAATCCAAAGAACTGCTGTACTGATTATTTAGCTGGATGAAGAAACTGGTATGCTACAGACTTCCAACCGCATTATTTATCTATTTGGCACTACTTGGACTTTGGATGAAATTCTGAAGGTGGGATACATCCAAACAATTAAGTCAGTTGGGAATTACTCCTTGTTGTGCTGTGTGTTTCTTTGGTAATTTTGATCTGTAACACCAAAGGTACACACTTAATCTCTGTGCAATCCTGTTTAAACCTGTACAATGAAGCAAGTAAAGAGCCAAAATACACTACAAATAAGACTCCCACTGTGACATTTTCTTTTAATTGCAGAAATCATTTCCATGAGGGGATGTGTTTGAGATTGCTTAAAAAAGCATTTCTCAGATCACACTGCAGCCTGGAAAGGAGTGGAGGGGGGAAAGGCACCATGACAGGGGGATGGGAAATTCAATGTTTGCTATCCTAAAACAAATATAAAGTGATTCAGCTTGTGAAGGTGCCTTCTATTTAATGTTTTTGTTTGCTTTGGTTTTAAGGATTGATATGTATGTTGGAGGAACTGATGACCTTATGGGCTTCATTTTGATGTTCCCTTTCTTATCAGCAGAGGATAAAGAGAAACAACGTGCATTAATAGTTGAAAAGGCAACAAGCAGGTATTTCCCAGTGTATGAGAAGGTATGGAGGAGGATCATTTTCTTTCCTGATTCTGGAGGGATAACAATGGGAACACTTGGTATTTCACTACAACCAGAAGCAGAAGTGTCAGTGCAGTACTTTACACCAGAACATCTATTCTGTTTGTTGGCTGGAGGGGGGTCAGAGCAGTATCAGATACGTTGGGGTGGGTCAACCCAGGAGACCTTCAATGCATTTTTTTCCTCATGTTCAGATGAGGAAGGGAGTGATAAAGCAGCTTTGATAGACTTCTGGTACCCAGCCAGGCTCAATCTGACCACAGTAATTTGCATTGCAAAAGTAGTGCTAATTGTCTTCTTTGTTTAGCATTTCAAATACATCTCAGTTGGGTTTTTGTAAACACAGTAATACACAGCTATCACTGCTGACTTCTAGCCATACTGGAATCTTGGTGTTTCTCTAACTGATAATTTGAGAGATAGGATCCAAGAGGTACTCTCAGTGGAAATTAATATGCATGAACAGGATGATCTAGCAGGAATAGCTTCTCTCCATTTTAAAGACCAAAGAGAAAAGTTTTTCACTTTGCAAGGTCTCCTATAGGTGGTTGCCAAGGTTGCATTCTGCCCTATATTCCACTTGTATCTTAGCCCTAATGCTTTAGGCTGATCATCCTTTTATACTCTCTATTTTCCCATTGAAGCTGTAAAAACGTATTGAAAAATTCCAGATAAATTAGACTTGAAAGATGTGAATACCAAGAAGGTATCTAACCCTATAGTCTAGAACACAGGGTTACCTAGAGCTATAGGAAGAAAGGACTGGTAAGAAAAAACCTGGGATTCTAGATTTTTGCTGTAAAATGATCAGCGACTGCTGGCACATCCCCTTTTCCCCCTGTTGGCTGCATGGGAGAGAAGGGTGAAAAGAAGACAGTAGTGTTGCCAAAGAAGGCATGCCTATGAGTTTTGAAAACATGAATCTCAGCTGCATATCCACACCTGAGTGTTTTCATCTATGGTATTTTTAGGTTTTGAAAGACCATGGGCAAGACTTCCTTGTTGGCAACAATTTTAGCTGGGCTGATGTTCATCTTCTTGAAGCCATTTTAATGGTAGAAGAGAAGAAGTCAGATGTGCTGTCGGGCTTTCCTCAGTTACAGGTACCTTGCACTAATAAGTTGCTCACATGGCTGTAAATGTTATAAATAGTATTTCAGTCTAGTCTGTGTAAATAATTCCAAAAAACATTTGTTACTTTTTCACTGTAGTCTTGCTTTTCCTATTTTGGGAAGAGCTTTGTAAAATGTTTCATCTAGAGAAACTGTTATTTTCTGGAGTAACACCCCCCCCCCCCCCCCCCCCCCCCCGTACACATCTGAAGAAATGCACCCTCCCTTTTTTTGAACTCTCACCAGTTCTGTGATACTGCTAAGTGGAAGATACTTTCTGGATCAGAAGAATGATCTAAGTAATGTACATATTGGAAGCCACAGATAATTTAACACTTCATGCCCTATCAATGCAAGACAGATGGCTCATTTTTTACTGTGGAAAATAAAAGGGTTGAAGTGAGTGGGAGTAAAATTCATCCACACTTAAAACCATATTTCCTGTCTTGTTTGCACATACAGCTTGTTAAAGGATGTTACACAAATCAGTAAAATAGGGTTTTTTCTTGTGCTACTTTCTGTTCTTTAAATACCATGTACTTGCTGTTTGCCTTTTAGGCATTTAAAGCAAGGATAAGCAGCATCCCCACAATCAAGAAATTTCTTGAGCCAGGAAGCCAGAGGAAACCTATTCCTGATGATAAATATGTGGAGACTGTCAGGAGAGTTCTCTGCATGTATTACAATATAAAAGCAAATTAGCTTGCCTGGTTGCAGGCTGTAAGAGAACTGCCAGACTGCACACGGCCAATTACACCGTGAAGGAAGGCGAAGGGGTGTTCCAGAGGTGTTTCAATGGGCAAGAGGTCGTGCCCTCACACAAAATAAAGTAGGCAGGTATCTTTTATAACACTTCAGTACTAGCCTATTTTCTCCTTCGTTCATCTTGAGATTTCTTCTGGTAATTTTAAGCAAGTGAAATGGCAGCAAGTACACTGCCTTCCTAGAGACTTTGTGGAAGAGCAAAGGGAAATGTGAGTTGCTGACTGATAGCTTCAGTATGTCATGCTATTTCTGAGGACTTTTTTCTAGATCCAGATCAGATTTTTATATGATGATTGCTTCCAAAGTAGGCCTTTATTCTTCTATAATATCCCTGTTGGCAAATGAAACAAGTGGTTTTTAAAGAATGTAGGAATGAGGTCTTTCTTTTACAGTTCTACTGGACATCAGTGACTTGTCTAAATGTCAACACTGTGCCTTTATAACTAAGCTGCACTTCTATTACCGAATTAGGAAATAAACTGACAAATGTTTTTGTTTAACTGCTGTATCTAGAGAACCTGCACTAATCAAATAAACTTTTTATATAGTCACATTGTCCCGTTGTCTTGTGAATGAAAGCTGGGGCTTGCAAACATAATTTTTACTTTTCTTGGAGGATAAATTCTTTATATTTGATATGAGGAGGGTCATTGTTAACCCACATGCCTCATGGAAAGGTATATTTTGTTTGTGTTTATGAACAAGAGGATGGAGATGTGAAGAAGAGGTAGTAAACCATCATACAAACCTGATATAGCTCCTACCTAGTACCAACCAAACTCAAAATGTTTCTTTTCCTCTTTTTTTTAACTTCATGGTTTCCACAGAAAACTAGACAAAGGAATTTAAAATTGTTTTAATCACTTCAAAAATGGCATTTAGGTTAGGAAAAGCTGCTCTGCAGGATGTTACCTTGGTGTTTCATACTTGTTATTTATAGTTGTACATTAATGACATAGTTTACAGGAAGACTTGTGCTCAATCTCTAAAGGCCCTGTTTTATTCCTGTGTTAGCTGTGGGTTGAGAAATAAGATGCTGCTTGACACTGGGATGTAGTAAGTACACTCATCTGATATCTGATTAACAAATTGCCCACTTTGGGAGCTTGTCAGACTCCCCAGCTTCAGCATGATTGAAGTTTTCAGTGCTACAAACACTTTGCCCTCATTACCAGATATACAAAGTTTGTATAGGCCTACAGTAATTTATCAGCTAATGTATTGTCAATTGTAATTACACTTCAATCCTTGTTTTAAACTCAGATTATTTTATTAGAAAAGTTTGGAAAATGCTGTAGTTGTTGATCATAATTCCTTTGCTAAGTGAACTTTTTTCCACAAAATTGTAAAAGTTGTAAAAGTGTAATGCTGTTCAAGAGTTCCACAAGCAAAGATGCAGCAGATGTAGGAGGTGCCAGTACTTGGTGATCAGCCTAACAGCTGATGGTTATTCCTATTAGTAAATAGAGTGGTACAGCAGCAATGAATGAGTAGAACAGCAGCTGGTACTGAAGCCTTGTCATCAACACTGTGTTTGGGACAGTGTTAACTTCAGCATAGCTCAAGAGTGATTGTATGGCCTGAATGACACTTAAACAGCATTTGGTGCACTCTTGCAGCACATTTTTGAGTTTAATTTCATCCAGAAAGAATCCAGTTTGTACACTCCAAGATCACACTGTGATGGGAGCCAAAGCACAGTTAAGGAATTAATTTTTAAAACATCCTCCTGTTCCAGGCCACTAATGTAGACATACCCTGTAAGGCTCTAGGTCTGGTCCAGGTGATGGTTCATTTCCTGATATTTCAGTAAATTGTTGATAAGAACTTCCAATTTTGTTCCATTACTTTTTTACTTATCTTCTTGGTTTATTTTGACATGAAAAAAAAAACCTGAAAGTGTTTATACATACATGTTTTGACTTCTTCATACAAAATCTACAGCCATGTTTTCTTATGCAGGGCTACATGGTGTGACATAGTGCTCTGGGTTAACTCTGATAACCTTATTTTGATATTCCCATGCAAGTTTGTCAATTTACTTTCTAACCTGTAAAGAGCACCAGATTTACAGACTGTTACTGCAGATCTGAGGAATGGCTGAGGGAGCTGGGGTTGTTTAGCCTGGGGAAAAGGAGACTTAGAGGCAACTATCACTCTCTACAACTCCCTGAAAGGTGGTTGTAGTCAGATGGGGTTGGTCTCATTCACCAGGCAGCAACTGACAGAACGAGAGGACACAGTCTCAAGCTGCATCAAAGGAAATATAGGTTCGATATTAGGAAAAAATTTTTCACAGAAAGAGTGAAGAGTACTGG